GCTCCCTGGACCTCCCTCTGCTTCAGCTCCACCTCCTGTTGGACGCCATGCTATCGGTCAGTTCCACTAGTCAGAGACGGGGCATTCACAGACAGGCCATCGGGCCATCCAACTCCTAACGAGCGACACCAGAAGATCGTGCACCACCGACAATAAGGCTCCACGCAAAACCGCCATTACCTTGGCGCAGCCATCATCATCATCATCATCATCATCATTCATCACATCATCTCATCATCATCATCATCATCATCATCACGATACCGCCACCAACGACCGCGTGCGGTCCAAGCTGATCCAGAACTGTTAAAGGCAAGATACATTTGCGGGAAGTTCGGGCCGTTATCGGACCGGGCTGGGTCCCCTGGCGGTGTGCCGGCCGGGTACGGTTGGACCGCGCCGCCCACGAAGGTCCTCCACCGCCGTCACCTTGGTGAGGCACTCCACCTCGGAGCGGAGCGTGCGGGCGTTCCAGCTCCAGATGGTGCGTCTTGCCCTGCAGCCGCTGATTGGCTGTCTCCAGCTGGTGCCTCTCCTGGCCGGCCAATGCCAGCTGCGAGTGGACGTGGTCAACCTGGGCCTGCAGAGTCTGGCAGCGGTCGTCCTGTAATGGACGGGCCAGTCTCCTTACAGGTAACCAATCACCAAACGCCTCGCAGCATTGGAAATAAATCCATATAAATTGTGTCCGTGTTCCTCTTCAGCATCGAACCTCGGTTAGTGGCTGGACAGTGACACGTGCAAACCGCAGATGCCGACATCACGCACATTACACATCTTCCGCAGCATTGATATCTGTCAGCTCTCAGCAGCGCCTGCCACGGCCGTGGCGTGACCTGCCAGCGCCGCGCAGGCGTACCTCCTGCTGCTTCAGTCGCAGCCGGAGCGCGGCCAGCTCCTCCTGGTGCTCTCGGGAGACGGTGTACAGCCGCTGGCCGGCCTCGTGCAGCTGCGCCTCCAGAGCTGCCCTCTGCTCGTCACCCAGGCGCAGCTGGTCTGGCAACAGGGGCGGGGAGGAGCGTGAGGGGTGACCCTCTGCTCGCCACCCAAACGCAGCTGGGTCTGGTAGCAGAGGCGGGGAGCGTGATGGGTGACCCTCTGCTTGCCACCCAGGCGCAGCTGGGCCTGGCAGCAGCGGCGGGGAGCGTGATGGGTGACCCTCTGCTCGCCACCCAAACACGGCTGGGTCTGGAAACAGGGGCTGGGAGGGGCGTGAAGGGTGACCGCCTGCTCATCACGCAAACGCAGCTGGGTCTGGCAGCAGAGGTGGGGAGCGCAAGGGGTGACCCTCTGCTCATCACCCAGGCGCAGCTGGGTCTGGCAGCAGAGGCGGGGAGAAGCGTGAGGTGTGATCCGATTCAGCTGGGCCAGGTTAACAGCAGTAAAGGAGGCTGAAGGTTACAGGTAGTCTGCTCATAATAAGAAAAGGGTGGAATCTGTCAAGATTGGCAGAGCATGAGTGCGTAAGCTCGTCCCCCAAACGCAGATCGGTTCATCAAGAGATCACCTTCAGTGACAAGAGGTCTTCAGGGGAAGGGGGATGGAGTCACCATGGTGACAGTGACAGCCGAGCCAGGCTTCTCCTGTGGTGACGTCGGCAGTCACGCGCGTCGGAGCACACCTGCAGGTTGGCGGCGGCGGCCGTCGCCTGGTCCTTGACCTTGGCCAGCTGGCTCCTGCGCTGCTCGTCGGCCGCCTCGGCCTCGGCGCGCCACTTCAGCTGCTCCCGCTCGGTGGCCGCTGGTGACACCGGTCAGAGCGGGTCAGGGGGTCGACTGGCGACGGTGGCAGGTGGCGACCTAGCTGCCGACGCAAGTCGGCTGATCGGCCAGCAATGCACGGACACCCGCCAGCTGATCCCTCTCACCGCCGCGTCCTACCCTGACTCGCGGCGCTCGCGCCAGCAAACTGTGGGATGATACTAAACGGCCTCCGAAGATAGCAGCCCACCAACCCACCCCCGGGGCCTCACAAGGTCCACTGCTCTCAGAGGCGCATACGTTCCCACGCACGGGCGCATCGCCAGTTACATTCGTCCCCCGCGAGGGTCCGGCCCCATCCGATCCCAGGGAGGGGCCTTCCGCCCCACTGACCCTGGACGTCGTCCCGGAGCGAGCCGACCAGCGTCTGCAGCCGAAGCCCGTCCTGCTGCAGCCGGTCGGCCCTGGCGGCCTGCTCGGCCAGCTGGCGCTCGGCCTGCAGCCGCAGCTGGCGCTCCTCGGCCAGCCGCCGCTCCAGCTCCGCCGCCTGCTCGCCGTGCTGCTGCTTCCGCCCGCTGCGCCGCCTGGTGGCGTCACATCACATCCCGTCAGACAGGATGAGGCGTTTGGTGACGTCACACATCACTTATGTCAGGTCCCAAGCAGACGTCCCAGCGGGTTGGCGTTGTTCTCTGGTTGCTTCCAGAGGACACGGAGGGAAGAGAGATGCAGAGCGCGCTCACTCCAAGCTGAAGTACACATGACGTACACAATACATCCCATCACACCGAAACTAGCCACATCCACGCACCTCTTTATGCTGTTCCTGCTCCTGTTTCCGTGTGGTGTTCACGGAGGCCAGCTCGGCCCGGCAGCTTGTCAACTCTTCCTCCAGTTCCGCCCTGGTGACGAAGCGTTTTGGTGCCAGTGAGATTATGAGGCCAAACTCGGCGGCATTCGTAACGGCTGTTAGTGTAAGATACCAGCTAGCCCCCACCTGTCCTTCTCCGTGGTCTCCAGCTTGGCAGTGGTGGCAGACAGTTTGGAGGTGAGAAGCTGGGCGGCTGCCTTCCGTTCCTCTAGCGCCTCCTGAAGCTGACCCAGCTGGAAGGTCAGGTCACTAAAACAAAGCGGAGAAATTGTCTACATATATGATGCACGTCACGCCAGCTGGCAGCAACTTTGTCTATAACGTTGCTGGGTGTCAAGCTGCATAAAAGCCGGCATCACAACACTTTTGGAGTAAAACGCTGGGAAAAATCACGACTGACTCTGATTTCGCTGATCTCAGACTATCCATCTCTGCCTGTCAGCCAACTTGTGAGTCAGGGGCGCTCACGGCTTGAGAATTTACATGTATTCTCAATCAGTACCATCAGCTCTTATCTAGCAAATAGGGAATCCCTTCCTTAGAACTGCGTTAAGTATACGGAAAAAACAATGGCCTTCCTATGTACCGAAATCGCTGACTTTCCATACCCAAGGCCAGCGTACACGGCCGGCGCGCTGGGCCAACAGGTGCCGGTGCAGGGGACAGTAACACTCACGCCTGGACTCCTGAGAAGGACGCCCGCTCCGTCTCCAGAGTCCGGAACACTCCATCCACCTGGCGTCCACAGCTCTGTACAGGGAGCTCTGTGTGAGTGTCTGGACATTCACCTGAACATCCACGGAAGTCGTGGGCGGGCACGGTACGTCCGCAATGCCCGCATCGCTCAGCCGCACGCCACGCCCACGAATCGAACACCCATGGAATGTGAGTGACACACGGAATGTGAGAACACCACGGATGTGAGTGATGTGAGCATCAGCTCACGTCACTCACATCGAGTCCACATATGACACAGCTCGGCTCCACATGAACGTCACTCATATAGATTCACAGCAATACAGTCCAAGAACGGAATTTTGTCTCACCGCCGACAAGAAATCCTCACTTCCCAGTGCAGTTGTCTAACAGACATGTGTACGGCGATCAACTTTTCTATCGGCCTCGACACGCGGTCGTGCCGCAGGCGATGTGCGACAGGCGGCAGGCTACGGCCGAACGTTAGGCGCCCGGCAGGGTCTCACCTGAATCTGCGCCGTCAGGAGGGAGCGCTCGGTCGCCTGGTGCCGCTCCGACTCCAGTAGCTCCTGGTTGTTGCGGACCCGGAGAGCTGTAACAGCCACGACACGGGTCTGACACCCCGAACAGCTGATGCGGAGTGACACGGGTCTGACACCCCGGACAACAGAGGCAGAGAGACACGGGTCTGACACCCCGGACAGCAGAGGAGGAGAGACGCGGGTCTGACACCCCGGACAGAGGCAGAGAGATACAGGTCAGACACCCTGGATAGCAGAGGCAGAGAGACACGGGTCTGACACCCCGGACAGCAGAGGCGGAGAGATGTGGGTCTGACACCCCAGACAGCACAGGCGGAGAAACACGGGTCTGACATCACGGGCAGCAGAGGCGGAAAGACACGGGTCTGACACCCCAGACAACAGAGGCGGAAAGACACGGGTCTGACACCTCGGACAGAGGCAGAAAGACCAGGGTCTCACACCCGACAGCAGGGGAAGAGAGACACGGGTCTGACACCGCAGCACGTCTCCACAGCAGCAGCCGGCATCTCACCGATGGCCTGGGCGAGGTCGGGCGGCAGGGCGTTACCGTCCACCGGACACGAGGTCAGTGACCTGTTGGCCTGCAGGGCGTCGACCAGGCTGCGGCCGCCCAGCACGCCCACGCCGTTCCAGCGCAGGTCTGGGGGCACGACGGACGTGTGGTGCTAACATGCGGCATCTCCGCACTAAAGGCCACGGGCGGTTAACACCCCGCGTGTCGGAGCAGATGGCAGACAGACGGGCCGGACGCTCGATCGCATGCAGCGCCCGACGACAAGACCGAGGGCATCGAATCTAGCATCTCTGACTTGACCCAGGCCAAAGCCCGCCGTATCAGCGTGGTATTTCGTTAGCCATCACCGTGACCGATATGGTAAACCGAAAACAATTACAATATGTAATTAATGGACCATGTAACAACCCGCACAGTCCCACCTCAAGCAACGATGGGCGATGATAGGCACCCGAAACAGGGACATGCAGCACGCATGCATGCAAAATATTCGGCAGGCATATGCGGAAAGAATGACGTGACCATATCGTGGGAATGATCGTGGTTGGGCGTTGGTTGATTTTTGCGTAAGGATGGCCTACATTTGCCCAGTTAGAGCGCCTGGCCCTTCTCTTCCCCACATCTCCCGCCCATTACCGAGGTGGCTGAGGTGGCGGTTGGAGGCCACAGCGCGCGCCACGTACGCCGCGCACTGGTGGTCCAGCTGGTTGCTGCGCAGGTCCAGCGACGTCAAGCCTCGGTTGGTGCGCAGCGCGTCGGCAAACACGCGGAACGACGGCGGGCTCAGGCCTGCCGACGGCGCGAGACGCGTCCAGATACGCACCTCGCGGCGGCCACGACGCCATCAAAGCGTGGCTGCCGACTACAGAACATGGCGATGCCCCAGCCATCTCTGACAGAAAATGATCATAAGCTACGTGAAAATGAGACACCGTGAGTCTTTTGTAGCAAAGCTAAGCCAGCCATCGTTTTGCATAACCACTAAGATCGGTATGACCACCTGCCGAAAAGCCACCCTTCAGGTAAAGGGAAAGGTCTCCCCGACACGCACTCGTGCCGCCGTGGCGACGTCGGCAGGCGCGGCAGCCAAACGCCTGCGGGCAGCGTCAGGTGACGTGTGCCGACTCACCGAGGTTGTTCCACTCGAGTGTGAGCGCGCGCAGGCGGCCGTTCTTCTTGAGCAGGGTGGCCAGGTGCTCCGTGCCTGGGCCGCGCACGTTGTTACCCCGGAGCTCCAGCAGCTCCACCGATGTGTTCAGGCACAGGCCTAGGCACAGTGCCTGGAGACAGAGGCCGTCAGTGAGCATGAAGAGGCTCAGCAGCCACAAAGCAGAACCAGCGACAGGCCACCAGAAACGGATGCCACGAAGCAAAAAACAAAAACAAAAACAAAACAAAACAAACACAACAAAACGGAGTCACAAAGACGACTAAGGCCTGATCGGATAAGAAGAAGAAACAAAGCACTGTGAATCTATAATTCCACAATTTATACTGCAGCGGCAAAATGCAAATAACGGACGTCGTGCGTTGCAGTTTAGGGAGCATGTTTAGCTGCGTACGGTTGCTACGACGCCCGAACGTCACTGGAGGCGGACATCTACTGATTCATCTGCGCCCTATCCGCACAGCGCTATGCCACGTCACAGGCGGCGGCGCGCGCGCGGCCCACCTTCAGGGCATCCTCGGAGAGCAGGCAGTCGTTGAGGCAGAGCTGCGTGACGTCGGCTGTGGTAGAGAGCAGGTTGCCGAGCACGGCCGCCTGCTCGGTCGGGACGTCGCTGCCGGACAGGTCCAGTCGCCCGTCCGTCCTGCTCACGGTACGGCGGCGCACCGCGCGCGGGACGCCGTTAGCGCCCGGCAAGCGGTGCAGTGTGGTGTGGGACAGCGCCCACTGTGCAATCGACAGGAGAACGGCTGATCATGGGAAGCAGGCATGCCCTACGCTGGTAACCAAAACAGGAATGTGCAGTCAGCCTGCCTAGAAAATATTCATATGGCATATGCTGGATAGAATAAAGTGGTCATGTGTTGGGAATTGACCATGGCAGGGCATAGACCAGTTTTTTTGTAAAAATGCAAGCCTAGTTGTGCTGCAAAAAGGACATTCACTTCAACATGAAAGAATGATACTAATTAGACTAAAACCAACACACTATTCAACTCCTCTGCTTTTAGATCTGCTGGACATGACTGTGAACTGTAAAATGGAATTCTTGAACAGAAAGCTGTGTTAAAGAGCATGCCTGAAAATCAGAACTAATTTTAACTATTACACAGTTAGAGAATGGAAATGAAGACCTATCATGCATGCTGGGGTGCAAGTGAGTAGCAGCACCCCTGCTTGCCATGCACTCTGAAGCCCAACCAAAGGGATCCTGCCATAATCAAAACATAATGAATTGGATTGGGGGTACAGCCAAGGAAGGGGCACAGGTGGCCTGCCCCTCCCCCTCCCACCCTGAGGCCCACATTTTTCACCACAGAGGGCACCTGACAGAAAATCAGAAATTAGGATGATGTAAATTCAACAAGCTCTGGCCCCTCCTGTAAGAAAATCCTGGCTGTACCCCTGCATTGAATTCAGCTGTTTGTGTCAACTCACACATGTGTGTGAACAGTGCAGGGGGTTATGCACACTATCAGTGTCAGGATTCCCCAATTCAGTCAGCTAGGTGGCAAATATATGAATCAAAATTTTAACCATCAGACTTATTCCTAGTTCTGAATGGACATATCAGGTTATTGCATGCTACTTAGATGGACCTGGGACCATTCATGCACCTTGACCAAGATCTGACAGCCAAGATTTGCATTGCCTGGGATGGCTAGACACTCACTTGGTGACATCCTCCACTTCATGCTCATTGGTTGATATTCAGGAAGGGGAGGATCAGCATGACATGAGGCTTAACACAGGGTTCCAATAACATGCATCTAGAAAGTGCACCCTTCGCATGAGAATGCAAAGAACTTGACATAGAGTGAGCTGGCCAACAAACACACAGCATGTCTGGCTAGGAAGCATTTAACTACTACCTTGTTACCATACCTGCTAATACAGAGGTTTTCTGTGATACTGCTTGCTGGTTCCACATTGAATTCCTTGCACATAAGGTTAAACTGTTCTTGAAAACTCATGACTTGTCAAAATCCTGTGAAAATATAACCCAATTGTTATGTTTTAACATGCTATTAACATGCAATAATAGCTCTCACAGGCTCTTAGTGAGGTTTGAAACTCTTACCCAAGCAAGTGAGAGGGCTCAGCATGCAGCTGCTTGCTGCTACTTTTCTAGGTTGGCATACATAATATACATAAAATGTTAATCTACCATTGCTATCTTTCAGCATGGGACCTATTTATATCCCATTTACATCCTGATATTGAAAGTTTGCTGATTGATGATATGGAGTATTACCTGCATTAACATGCACAGAATGTCAGTATGGACTAGTACTGTGTATATGCATAACATTGCAATTATTTGCTTGCAAGAAGTTGTTAGATCTGACTATGCCTGTCTTGAAACTAATATTGACCTGAATATTGGTTTAGATCAAAACATATGTGTCAAAATGCCAGGTTTCAATATTTTGAGTTATGCATGAGGGCAACTCCAAATTTTGCTGAATAGTATCACAACACATATGTAGGAGTACAGCCTATCAAAGCCTGCACCCACAGCTAATTTTTTCAAACCTCTCCCAGCCAAACTCTCCCATACATTACAATGTTGTCTTTTGAAACACAATGATTTTTCTTCTTATATGGCAAACACTTATCAGTCACCCAAATATGGTTCAGTTCAGATTATCAGTGGCCAGATAACCTCACTAGCATCTGTTGTGAACATAAAGACAATTTGAATTGTGAGCCAGACTTCAGAAATGTGTATTATGTTAAAAATGTCCAGCATAGCAGCATAACAGCACAAATTTTGCTGCATGCATGACATAAATTAGAGTACTTAGAGTTTGATGCACTGCCACCACCTATTTCAGCAGAGAGCCAATGTTTCATGGAATTATGGTGATGCACTGGCAATTGCAGATAGAAATACTCCACAAACATTTCACATACAGAAATAATTTCAAAATCCAGCAAAATGTGGCCTGACCTGAGTTTGACGCACGCGAGCGCACCGATCTAGCGTAGACGTCCGCCGCAATGGATGGGTTTTTCACATTGCGTTGTAACGCTACATGAGCATTTGCGCGGTCTTACGCAGAACAATGGGCGATCGGTCAAGGAACCAATGCCCATATGACACCTACGAAGCAAGATATCCTGAGCTACGAGCAATGGAAGAACATAGCAATCCAAAACGATCTCAAAATAAATCGCGCGCGCCCCGGCATCCTCACCGCCTGCACTCCTGCATTCCTTTCTGAATGATTGCTTACACTAGTGTAAACTTCGTTGTCAAGGATATATGGAAACAGCAGAAGACAATTCCCCAATTTCTTCAGCAAATACAATAAACTCGATGACTTGCAAAGGTATAAACACACCAATTGATAAATATTTACCTTAAAAATGTTATTTCATTTATTTTGTGTCGTTTGAGCTCGTCTGTACCTTACTTATACAGACAATAAGCAATATTTTTTTATTTTTGCTGTCATCAAGACAATCATTTTTCTATGTCTTAAATACACATTCATGCCAGCTACCAGATTGGCAAAGCGGGGCGCCAGCGGCGAATGTATGAAGTTCTGCGTATGGCCGTGTCTACGTCTTTGAAAATGCGGCGCTGTCAGGGCCGTTCCACTTGAGATCTGATTGGCAGCAGCGGCACAGCGGGTGAAAGTAAGCGGTTTAACACGCGCTCGGGTGTGGGGTCAAATCGACCCCCCCTCGAAGATTTTTCCCGGAATGATTTCCGAACGGCGCGGCGCAGCCGCGCTAAATTTTGCATAGCTGTAGACAATTGAATAGCGGATCGTTTTACATAAAAAATTAGATGTTCGTTGAAAGGTCGCTGACCTATGGCAGATCAAAGTCAGGCCATGGTTTCAGCAAAGGCAAGTTCTAGGACAGCGTTTAATGTGATAAAACAACTGAGTGTTTGACAAAACCATACATCTCTTAGATGCCTTCTTAGGCACCACAAATATTGAATGAGCAAATTGTGTTGACGTAAGGCCAGGTAGGAAGGTCAGGATGAGGTAAAAGCCAGCCTGATTTATTATTGGTGTTCTTCAAGTACTTCACCTTTTTTAGAAGAAGAAATATCAAGCTATCTTGGTCTAAAAATGATGAGGATGCTTGCCTGAACTTACCTTTGCAGCAGTAATTACTTTACCAACAACTTTGTTTACTTACCTTAATGAATGACTTAACAGCAGTAATTACTTAATTTGGCAGGTCATTGACAAACATCAGATCAGATCATGTGACTGATTAACTGCAAACCAGTCACATATGTAACTTAAGGTGAGAGGCCAGGACCAGATGATAAATAAAGCGGCATTTCTATGCATGACGTACCACAGAAGTTGGTAAAGATGTGTAAGGGGTTACTAAGTAACATCAGTTCTTAAGAGACAGTTAGGAGCAGTTAGGTGCTGTTTGTTCTACATACAGTAATTGGTGCAGCAAGCCTCTCGTAAGTAATAAACTACAACTGGAAGATCATTGTGTATGCTGATCCTGCCACCAGCTCCTATAGTATCTGCTTTCAGTACTAGTAGAGCATACCAAAACTGACATAGCTCAATTCACATTTAACACCCTGGCAATGTCCACAAACAGAGCCAAAGTGCCCCCTGCATCATAGCCTCCTGCTTCACTATATTGCGTTTCAACTGCAGCAGTTCAGTGAAATAAAATTTTCCACTTGTGGTCACAAAAACCCAGAGTACAAATCACCATTTAAGCGATAAGCTGTTCAGCATGCATGAGAAGAATTGTTTTAAAGATCCAGTTACACAATTTGGGACATGGTGATCACTGGTGTGTTGCACAGCACATGCTCATTTTTGTCTCCTCTTCCAGCTTTTCAGGATAATTGAACCAGATTAAGCACTATGGTTCTGCGGAAGATGAACCTGATCGTGGCTGTGGCATCCAACGGGGGTATTGGAAAAAATAATGATTTGCCATGGAAACTGACGTAAGTTACAATTTGGGTTGCTGGAAACTTGATGGAATATTTCTTGTGGTTAACTTGGATCATTATTTCCAGCATTCAGAACTGCTGGTTGTACTTCGTTACCAAGATGGCTTGTATATGTAGATGCTGCCAATGGAGATCTGGTTTCCCATATAGCTGGAAGAAGTGACAGCCTCAGACTTCACTGATCACAAGCTGTGCAGTCAGCATCCTCAAAGCAAAAGTATCATGTTTTAGGCCAAACGGGCTGTAGTTAGTAGACATGGTTAGGGGTATCTGATTCACTCTGCAGAACCAGTTTTCTGTAATTTGTTTTCAATGTATCAAGCTCAGTTGAATTGCGGTTTCTGCGGTGTCTTATCGTCAGAATCCCTGCATACCAGCGCGTAAAAACGTCCCGTTCAGTGTTCAAAGTACGTGCTTTAGTTAGTTTGCTGACGACCGAAAAACACACTGACCCTCAGCAATAATGTTGGATTGACTGTAGTGTCACCGGCTGCGAGGCAACCATGACACCTGCGCCTCACTGCGGCCATCCCGCACACTTGCATGGGCGATGACTCAGCTCAGCAGCTCAGGTATTCGACTGTGGTTTTGGTTTGTGTTTATGTCATCAAGCACTAGCGCAGCCGAGCGCATGCATGTTGCGACTTGAGGGGGCGGCTGTTAAAAAGGGGTGCCTGGACCGACGTCGCCTCACGGCGGCGGCTTCAGTGCAACCTAAGTAGCGCGTGTTTAGTGCATGCAGGGACCGCGCCTCAGACGCGCTGTGGTCGGGCTCTTGATTGAGATGTTCGATTTCTGTTTTGCAGAAAGGAATTTAGGTATTTCGTCAATACGACGCGCCGTTTGGAGGACGCCAGCAAGAAGAATGCCGTTGTCTTGGGCCGCAAAACCTGGGAGTCCATACCACCCACAATGAGACCAATGAAAGGCAAAATCAACGTGATTGTTACTTCTCAGAAAGACTTGTAAGTACGTTGGCGTGTTACACGTCACTTTTGACGGGCGGTGTTTCGAGGGTCACAGTTCCTGGTATTCCACGTTGCCGGTTGCACCGTGTTAAGCGGGAGAACTTTAGAGGATCACGTCACCAACAGTGTCATATTCAGTTGCATGTGTAGGTGCGCACGCTAGCAGAATTTTCCATAGGGATTAGGTTGGTGAAGTCGAGAACGTCTGGAACTTTGCCATGATATCTACCCAACTTCATTTGCATGGGCAAAACAAAATTGAGTGAGGTGGGGTGAATATATAATGTGTTCTCTGATATTTAAGCTGTTGGACTGTAATGCATCATGGGGAGAGAGAGAGAGAGAGAGAGAGAGAGAGAGAGAGAGAGAGAGAGAGAGAGAGAGAGAGAGAGAGAGAGAGAGAGAGAGAGAGAGAGAGAGAGAGAGAAGCAGAAGGCAGACAGGCAGACAGGCAGACAGGCAGACAGGCAGACAGGCAGACAGGCAGACAGGCAGACAGGCAGACAGGCAGACAGGCAGACAGGCAGACAGACAGACAGGCAGAATTGGCCTGCTTGTTCAGTTCCGGTGACGGTGTTTTGATCGTGACAGCCTGCAGAACATAAAGCCTCCTCCTTTTTGATGATGTTATGATGCTGGTGTTTCTGGTGAGGTTGTCTTGGGTGATGGTCCAGCTGTGTTCTTTTCTCGTGTGCATTTTTGGAGCACCGTCAGCCGAGTGCATCGTCAGCCGCATTGAAAGTGTGGTGGTAGAGACATCAACGTGGTTTGATTGCGTTGTGAGTCTGCAATCTCCTCTGTCATAACGAAAGTGTTAAACTGCGTTTGTTCGTTTCAGTGGGTCAGCTCTGGCCATGAGGCTATTTCTTATGATAAGCTGGGCGACCTTTGTTTTTGTAGTAGAATATGAGCGCAATCTTGTCGTCCTGTCGTCGACATGCATCCGCGTCTTTCGCG